CGAAGAATTTTGTTAGTCCAAAACCTTAAGCGATATAATTTGCTTAATACCATATGAAACAGAGAAAAGCAATACATCTTCAAACCTGAGTGGCTAAAACATGACAATGAAACCATTTTTAAAATCAGTTCAGGTGATTATTTTTCTCTTGATATCCTTATTGATTAGTAGACAAATCATTGCAACTCATTACTCCGCTATGTAGCTAGTTGATAACTTTGTTTGTCAGGTGTTTGGTGCTGACCCTGAATTGTACAGTGGCTTTAAAGATATGTTTAGTTCACTGCGTAGCATCAGAATTACTAACCCGGTTTTAAGCTACGGTGTTGACTCCTTTGGTTGCATGTCATATCAGTATTTTCAGTTTCCAGAAATACCCCTCATGCCTTTTTTTGTGCTGGCCTTCAGCTGTAAACCCATCTGTCTTCAGTTGGCCTTGCAGACTCTCCCCCCAACCCCCTCGTCTCTCACCCTTCATTACTCCTCATCTAAACCAGCAGGGTGTCTTATTAGAGAACCACAACCCCACCTGAACCACTGTCACCATCTATAAGTTATATTAAACTCTCTCTTGCCCCAGTGGATGAGTTTAATAGTGTAAATATTGAGAGGAGTGATGCCTAATATTCCTGCAGGGCTGTGACAATATTTTAAATGCAGTGATTGAGATATTGATGGTTTGGAGTGTGGACTCTGCAGTGGGAGACAATGGGAAGACCTGAGGGACACGTGGGAGGTTGCATAGAGGGAAGGAGTGGGAAAGAGGGAGGCTGGCCAGAGAGCGATCGGTTATTCTTACTTTGACAAGAGTTTTGACACTAGACGTTCATTTGTCCCCGATGAGGAGCCATTTCCAATTTGTTTCCAGTTGAATGCAGCTGTCCTGGACCAGAGACTTTTCTTCTCAGATGGGAATTAGATTCAAAAAGAGTGTCGTCAAAATTCAGCCAAGAACTATTTCCTCTCGTCAGCTGATTAAGTTATGTTCCTTATCTTAATGGATGCGGCTAATTCCCTTCTGTGTTTCTCTTATTGCCAACAGATCTGACACAAAGACCAGAACCAGAAGTGTGTTGGCTCTGATTTAGCAAAACACAAACAGGTGTATTCAATGCTTTCGTTGGGGAATATCTTCATTTGCAGATAAATACACCTTATTACCTGATAGCCCTGATATGGCTATCTGCAGGAACTTTGACATTTTAGTCCCAAATAAGCTCATAAAAACTATAACAGGAAGCAAATTAAAAACATAGACTCACCGGATGGTAGGTGGAGGGAAAAATATGCCTTATGCAAAAAACTCACCATAGCAGCAGAACATCGCTATAATCGGCAAGCTGCTAATCAATGTTTATGAGAAGTGCGGAGTCCCTGTGGTTTGTAACATGTTGACCCATGTTTCTAAGCATTGCATTGAAACACACAAACAACCCTAATTGCTGCAGATTGTTTTTATAATAGCTGCACAAGCTTCGCTACTCCCTTCTGTGTTTTCAGCGTTGGTGTTTTAATGTTGTTTTGGACAACTAGTGCGATACGATACGATAAGATCAGGCGTTCGATTCACAGGCTGGTTCAGTTGATTTTTATATTTTCTGAATCTTTTTCTCATTTCTTTACAACTGTAGCCAAGCCAGAGCATTCACCTCGGACTTCTATTTTCAGCCTCTAATGTCAAAGAGAGAGCAAGACGGGGGAACAAATCAGTTGCACGAAATGAAAGCGGAGACATGATTTAGCTGCAGGCGCTGGGCAAAGTGCAGGGGAGAGAGAGGGGAGAGAGAGGGGAGATGGGGAGATGGGGAGGGAAAAGAGCCAGTGAACAAGAAAAAGAGATTTTCAAGAAGACAAGCAGCGAGGGGAGAGGAGAGGGAGGAAGGAGGGGGAGAGGGAGGGGGAAATGGAGAGGAAGAGGGGGATAGAAATGGGGAAATAGAGGCTAAAGCTCGACGGTGTCCCGGTGGATGGCGCGTTCGTGTGATGGAATGACATCTGCTCAGCTGGGTTGCCATGACGACCAGCACATCCTCGCTTGTTCCTCCATCCCTCCTTTCTCTCCCCTCCCTCGTTGCATCCAATCCCGACTTACATAAACCTCGTCCATGTACGAATGCGTTGAATCTCTCTGAAAATGTGATGTCAGGCATCATCTCTCTTTTTTCTCACGTACGCCCACACACACTCACACACACTCTCGATGTCTCCTGGCTCGATGCCATCGTTCTTTCCCTTCAGCTGGCAAATTAAAAAGCTTCAAGGATTCAGGAAGGATACAGGAAGTGGGCCGATGAAAAGAAAAGAGACTGTTTAGCATGTGAAGAACGTAGCTCCAAGCGGGAAAACGCCCCGACACCTCCATTCACTTCACACCCCCTCGTGTGTGTGTGTGTGTGTGTGTGTGTGTGTGTGTGTGTGTGTGTGTGTGTGTGTGTGTGTGTGTGTGTGTGTGGTGTGTGTGTGTGTGTGTGTGTGTGTGTGTGTGTGTGTGTGTGTGTGTGTGTGTGTGTGTGTGTGTGTGTGTGTGTGTGTGTGTGTGTGTGTGTGTGTGTGTGTGTGTGCGTGCGTGTGTGTCTGATGTCTATGTGTGACAAAAAGAAGGACAGAGAACAGTTCATTGCTTGCATCTGTGATAGTGAGCACTTCTCCTTTGCCGAGATAATCCATCCCACCTCACAGGTGTGGCATATCAAGATGCTGATTAGACAGCATGATTATTGCACAGGTGTGCCTTAGGCTGGCCACAATAAAAGGCCACTCTGAAACGTGCAGTTTTGCTTTATTGGGGGGTCTGGGGGGGGTCCGAAAACCAGTCAGTATCTGGTGTGAGGGGTAGGGGTAGGGTTAGGGTAATGTTGTGAATCGAGTGGCCTGTGTTCGTCGAGTGGCCTGTGTTCGTCGTCCATAACATAACCCCACCACAGGCCACTCGATTCACAACATTACCCTAACCCTACCCTTACCCCTCACACCAGATACTGACTGGTTTTCGGACCCCCCCAGACCCCCCAATAAAGCAAAACTGCACATTTCAGAGTGGCCTTTTATTGTGGCCAGCCTAAGGCACACCTGTGCAATAATCATGCTGTCTAATCAGCATCTTGATTTGCCACACCTGTGAGGTGGGATGGATTATCTCGGCAAAGGAGAAGTGCTCACTATCACAGATTTTTTCAGATATGTGAACAATATTTGAGAGAAATGGTTATTTTGTGTTAATAGAAAATGTTTAGATCTTTGAGTTCATCTCATGAAAAATGGGAAGCAAAAACAAAAGTGTTGCATTTATATTTTTGTTCAGTGTATGTGTATTTGTTTGCTCCTCTAACTGTGAGCACAGTTTCCTTCATGCTTGAAATCCTCCCTCTGGCAGTTTTGTGTCAGGCACTTTGACAGCCCTACGTTCAAGAAGAAGAATGAGTTCAAACATTTATCTTTCTTTTTAAAAAGAACATTTTCTGTTTTTTTTTCTGCTCAGACATACATTATATTTCTGTTAAAATAAACCAGTCAGTCACATGATCAGAACGAGCCTCACGTCGCTCTGTCATGTGACGGAGAATCAGCTCAGCAGCGATAAAGTCTCGTTAAGTGGGGGAAATAAATGTGCCGTTTTACCATCAGTGTGTAGACAAAGCCATCTGCCTTTCTGTCCCTGGGCGGACACTGTACTCTGCCAAACTGTGTGTGTGTGTGTGTGTTTGTGTGTGTGTGTGTGTGTGTGTGCGTGTGTGTGTGTGTGTGTGTGTGTGTGTGTGTGTGTGTGTGTGTGTCCACATATGGGCCCATAATGTTCACACACACATGGATGACCATTATGTATTGTGTAAGATCTTATAAACGCAAATGCACTTTGTTTGACAGAATGTGTGTGTGTGTGTGTGTGTGTGTGTGTGTGTGTGTGTGTGTGTGTGTGTGTGTGTGTGTGTGTGTTGCCCCCAGGCTGATTTTTTTCACTTTCTACTTTCGGACACACAAAGTGATATCATCCTTTTTGAATAAGCCATCCCACCAGCGACTCTTACTTCCTGCTCGCGCGCCTGAGGTCGATTACTTCACAATAACACCGAAGACTTATGTAACGTTTTGTGAAGCACGTGACGTCTTTGGAGATTTTTCAGATGACACACCAAAGCAATTAAATATAATCAGGAACAGAGAGTAAATCCTGAATGCTCACAAACAGATTGAAATGGAAAAGGGAGGTGCTCAAAGCCAACATGACTGTTAAATATTACACAAGAGGCAACATTTTACATTACATTACTTGTTAGACGCTTTTATCCAAAGCGACTTACATACTCGATACTGAGGGCAATCCCCACAGGAGCAATTTGGGGTGAAGTGTCTCAAGGACACAACGACATGCTGACTGCAGTGGGACTTGAACCTGTGCCCCCTGATCCGAACACCAACACACTAGGCCACTGCGCCACAGCCTCCCTATAATGTGAAATATTTGTTTAATATTTTAAAGCAAAAGCAGCAAACTTTCCCATTTAAGAAGCTGGGACTGTGAAGTTAAATTGCTGCCAATAAATGTTCAGTTCACCAGCCTTGAGTTACTTAAATATATTCGATACCAAATAATCATATTTTATAAGTTTTTCCTAAGTATTGCAAAATCGTAATTTTTAAAAGTATCTAGTAAGTCAATCTGTCAAATAAAATAAATGCCGATGAGTAAAAAGTATAATACTTGCTTCCAAAATACAGTAGAGTAGAAGTATAAAGTTGTACAACATGAAGTACCTTAATGTGTACTTAAGTACAGTACTTGAGTAAATGTACTTAGTTACTTTCCTTTACTGACTGCAGTGGGACTCGAACTTGCTATACCCTGATTCAAAGTTCAGCGCACTAACCCACTGAGCCACAGCCTCCCGTATATATCAGTTTCCAAGAATGCAGGAACTGACATTACACACAAATCTCTGTTATAAAATCTCTAAAATGACTTATTTCTCTCCATCTTTCGTTCGTACATTTCCCATCTGTAGGACAAATGAAGGATTTGTGACCCTGACAGCCTCTCTCCTCTCTTTCAGGTGTAACGTCCAGGACTACATCTGGCACAAAGGTGCTCGCTGCGAGTCGGTGGTGACGGAGTTCCAGGTGATGTGTCTCGCCGTCGGCACCTCTGCTCTCGTCCTCCTGCTGCTCTTCATGATCGTCGTCTGCTTCGCCAAGAAGCTCCACGTGCTGAAGACGGAGAACAAGAAGCTGCGCAAACGCAGGTGAGGCTCCGTCTAGACCTGGAGATAAGAGCTCTGCTATCATTCCATAACTTCTACTGGTTTCACAGTGTTTCCTATTTACAACGAAAAACCATGAAATCGGGTTTTTATATTTTTTTGGGTGATAAAGGTTATTGTTATACTCCCAAGGTTTGAATCCAGTAGTGCTCCAAGAGTCTAAGATATATATGCACTGGTATCAATTTCCTTTGACCTTACTTGACCCTTTTCTTTACAGTTCACAATGAAAAAGCATGAAAATATAAGTATTTGAAGTTCATTTTGACAAAGCTTATTCATATTCAGCAATGCTAATGCCATGTGCAAACACAGGTATGGCCTCCTCAAGAGTCGTAGATTAGAGATATCAACATTGTTATCATTTTTTAAAACTTATTTTTGGTTTTCATTATTGGAGTACTTTATTGGGAGCCTTATTCTCTCCAGTATACAAGAAAAAGCATGAAAACTTATGGTAAATTAGTCTTATTTTGGGTGATAAAGGCTATTATTGTACTCCCTAGATGTATATTAAGCAATGCTAACAAGTACGTAAAGAAAAAAGTAATTTAAATGACCTTTCTTCCCCACAAAGTATCCCATTTCCAATAAAGAAATATTCAGACCTGAGCAAAACTCCATTGGTCAACATGTCCTTGGTGCCCGCAGGCTCCTCGCTCTTTAAATAAGTGGCTTCGTTGGTCTAAGTTTCAAAGATCAATCAAACTAAAGTAAAGTCTAAAGTGCCTTGCTCACAGGCATCTTGGCGCAGCAGATTTATTATCCCTTACCCAGCAGTCACAGTGTTTTCGGCTGCGGTACATTACTCCCGTCAATGTTAAAGATTGGAGGAGAAAGCTTTGTTTCTTCAGCTGTCGTCGCCTCGGGGCCGAACTGCTGCCCGGCTCGTGGTAAATGTGGAGTTTTAAAAGAGTGACGGAGACACGGATCGATGGAGAGAGAAAGAGAGCTCAGGGGAAGATACGTTCTGTAGGAATACAATCTAAAGGCTAAGCAGACCGACTAACAGCTACACACACACTCTGAAATCACTCAATATGTCTGGAAAGAAACGCGAGGGGAGATGAAGTTTAGATTTACAAAAAGAGGAATTAAGCGGCACATATTTGTGTTTTGTGAAAGTTGTTCATCAGATACAAAGCTGAACAGGAATCCGTGTTTGAATCCCAAACGTTGTTGTACCTAAATGACAAAATTAAGATATTATGAGCAATTTTCTTATGTGAGATCCCACTTAGTAGAACAAAGACTAAAAGCAGAACTAGGGCTGCACGATTTGGGGAAATAATCTAATTGCGATTTTTCTGACAGATATTGCGATTCAATTTGCGATATTTGTTTTTAAGCGACCCAACGGAAGTTTATTGTAAAATGCGGCCATATCTCCGGCTAGGAAGGTCGTATCAACGTGCTCCCGTCTCTAGCACCCCCGCAGCCAGAGCTACGAGTGAACGAACTAAACTTACATGAAACTCCCGTTGGGTTGCTTTAAAGTCGAGCTTCAGTTTCAGATTCACCCTGTAATAGAAACACGTGATGGAGCATTACTAACCTGACTCAGATGGTTAGTTTCACCAAAGCATCTAAAGCTCCATTGGAAGCCATTTGGAAAAGTATTTCAAAAATACTTGGCAGGTGATTGGATCAATCTCTCTATCACCTTCTATCATGGGCCACTTCTGATTGGCTAACAATGGCTGGTACATGTGGAGCACAGCACTTCTGATTGGTGTGGATGACTGACACACAAGAAGAACAACAACAAAAAAAACTAAAGAAAATCGCAGGCTTTCCGATTTGATAATTGCATCATTTAAAATCGCGATTTCGATTTAAAATCGATTAATCGTTCAGCCCTACGCAGAACCTTTTTTCACTAAAGATTGGTGAACAAAGGTATTTTATGGTTAAAACAACCAAACACTGACCAGGCACAGGAGACGAGATATGAGCTGTAGATAACAAATACATGTTTACTTGGAAAACAGAATGAGGTTTATTGCCAAGTAGGTTTACACATATTTGCTTAGGATTATAATGGCCTGGGGCATGCAAAAACAGAGTAGGAGGAATAAAGTTGCAATGACAGTATTTTAAAAGAAGATATATAGATATACAAAAGGTAATATAATAGGAATATTACAATACATGTCACTTGTTAGACGCTTTTATCCAAAGAGACTTACACTCAATACTGTGGGCAATCCCCACAGGAGCAATTTGGGGTGAAGTGTCTCAGGGACACAACGACATGCTGACTGCAGCGGGGTTTGAACCTGTGACCTCCTGATCCAAATACCAACTCACAACCCACTGCACCACAGGCCTCCCGTATAATAGGAATATTACAATATCACAATACACAATAAAATATGTTTATGTATATCAAAGTGGAAGCGCTGTGCCGTTTTAAAGAGAACACATTTAGCAGAGAGAAATCTAAAGGATCCCAGTGTCTTCTGTATATATATACTCTTTATTTATTGACTTGACAGGTCCACTTAGCTCAGAATACAAACTCAGTTTTCACATAAAGGGTAGGTAACACAACAAAGAAAAAACATTTCAGACAGAGGGTGAAAGGAGGTGCTTGTGAACAATAAAGGGCTTTTTGAACATTAAAGCTTGGAGACATGTCACAGTAGAGACACTACATACTGATATACACCTGAACATCAGCAGGAGAGAACTCTTTAAAGTAGAGACACTACATACTGATATACACCTGAACATCAGCAGGAGAGGACTCTTTAAAGTAGAGACACTACATACTGATATACACCTGAACATCAGCAGGAGAGGACTCTTTAAAGTAGAGACACTACATACTGATATACACCTGAACATCAGCAGGAGAGGACTCTTTAAAGTAGAGACACTACATACTGATATACACCTGAACATCAGCAGGAGAGGACTCTTTAAAGTAGAGACACTACATACTGATATACACCTGAACATGAGCAGGAGAGGACTCTTTAAAGTAGAGATACTAAATACTGATATACACCTGAACATCAGCAGGAGAGGACTCTTTAAAGTAGAGACACTACATACTGATATACACCTGAACATCAGCAGGAGAGGACTCTTTAAAGTAGAGACACTACATACTGATATACACCTGAACATCAGCAGGAGAGGACTCTTTAAAGTAGAGACACTACATACTGATATCCACCTGAACATCAGCAGGAGAGGACTCTTTAAAGTAGAGACTCTACATACTGATATACACCTGAACATCAGCAGGAGAGGACTCTTTAAAGTAGATACACTACATACTGATATACACCTGAACATCAGCAGGAGAGGACTCTTTAAAGTAGATACACTACATACTGATATACACCTGAACATCAGCAGGAGAGGACTCTTTAAAGTAGATACACTACATACTGATATACACCTGAACATCAGCAGGAGAGGACTCTTTAAAGTAGAGACACTACATACTGATATACACCTGAACATCAGCAGGAGAGGACTCTTTAAAGTAGAGACACTAAATACTGATATACACCTGAACATCAGCAGGAGAGGACTCTTTAAAGTAGAGACACTACATACTGATATACACCTGAACATCAGCAGGAGAGGACTCTTTAAAGTAGAGACACTACATACTGATATACACCTGAACATCAGCAGGAGAGGACTCTTTAAAGTAGAGACACTACATACTGATATACACCTGAACATGAGCAGGAGAGGACTCTTTAAAGTAGAGACACTACATACTGATATACACCTGAACATCAGCAGGAGAGGACTCTTTAAAGTAGAGACACTACATACTGATATACACCTGAACATCAGCAGGAGAGGACTCTTTAAAGTAGAGACACTACATACTGATATACACCTGAACATGAGCAGGAGAGGACTCTTTAAAGTAGAGACACTACATACTGATATACACCTGAACATCAGCAGGAGAGGACTCTTTAAAGTAGAGACACTACATACTGATATACCTGAACATGAGCATAATATGTCCCCTTTAAAAGTTCACATTATCTTCCTCCTCCTCGTCTACTTAATAGAGAGGGTTCCGTTTTAAGAGACTTTGCTGTAGTCGGCTGACAGACTCTTGTTTTAAAGTCCATTCGTTCTCGTTACGGAGCTCTGACTCACGGATCATTTGGGAAATATGAGTGCCACGATGTGTCCTTCGAACAAGTAGAGAGAGAGGGGGCCTTGGTGCTCTGAGAACAGACATTATTTAAAACAACAATAACTTTTAAAGCAAGACTGACCCGATAAATAAAGACTGATGGAGGCAGTGCTTTGCTCAAGGACTTAATAAAAGAGAACGTGGTCCTTTTCAGCTCAGACATTTGAGTTTCTCTGCACTGCCATCACCTTCACAACGTTTTTGAATTCGATGTACTTCCTTGTTTTCAAATGTTCACTGATCCTTACCAGTTATTTGGCAGATCAGAGCGAGGCCGACTATATATAAACTGAAGGAGAGAAACAACAGTGATGGAGAGACTGAAGGACTGGATTGGTCGTTGGTTTGGCAGTGCCTGTGTTTGAGCGTTGATCTCCCTAGCAACAGAGGATGAGCAGAATCAGCCCGGTGATCAAGCTTTTGGGATCCGAATGGGAACTGAAGGGCCAAATGTTCTCAACTCCAGATCCCACGCTACAGGGACTATTTTTAGCTCCGTGGGGAAGGTTATCATGGAGGAGGAGATCATGGGAGATGAAGATGAGGATGAGGAGGAGAAGAAGAAGAAGTGGAGTGCAGTCAGGAGCAGCGTTAACGCGAGCTAGCAGAAATTAAAACAAGAGAAAAAAAGGGTGATGTCATTGGTACTCTGGATCCAGCTGAAAGTAGGGCAGTCTGAGCAGAGAGGGGGGAGGGAGGGAGAAACAGGGGGAGGCGGGGTTGACCTACATACAGCTGTGCGACCTGAGGGGTGTGTGTGTGTGTGTGTGTGTGTGTGTGTGTGTGTGTGTGTGTGCGTGTGTGTGTGTGTGTGTGTGCGCGTGTGTGTGTGCGTGTGTGTGTGTGTGTGTGTGTGTGTGTGTGTGTGTGTGTGTGTGTGTGTGTGTGCGCGCGTGTGTGTGCAGCATGAAAGAGACAGCCTCATCAAGTGGTCGGCTAAAAACAATCGAAAAGGAGCGAGAAAGAGGAGGAGGGGATGAGAGATAAGAGGAGTAAAAAGGAGGGCATGATGAAGGGGGGAGGAGAGAGGAGAAGGGAGAAACTGTTGCAGGAAAGGAGAGAGAAAGTGAAAAAATAGGAAGAAAAACGCTGTGTATTTGTGTGTGTGTGTGTGTGTGTGTGTGTGTGTGTGTGTGTGTGTGTGTGTGTGTGTGTGTGTGTGTGTGTGTGTGTGTGTGTGTGTGTGTGTGTGTGTGTGTGTGTGTGCTGACATAGCTCATGAATACATGAGACTCCCACACTCTGGGTAATCACAGTCGCAGTGTTTCTCTGCCGCAGTCGAGATCAAACCCAACATCCCGGTCATAGAGAGAGAAAAGGAGGGGAGAAAAAAGATGGCTGGCATCCTGGCTAGAAGACATTTTAGGATCTGAACCATGGAGTGGTGCAGGAATGAGTCCTAAAGCCCGGAAATAGGTTAGCATTTAACCACTAAGGGTGAATTTTTCATGAAATAACTGTTTTATCAGAAGCCCGCAATAAGGTGTGTGGTTAACCGTTGCTAAAGAGATATTCACGTTTTTTCCTACGACATAAAATACGTCACAGGTGAACGTCTGAAGAAAAAGGTGTTTTCTACCAAGTGACTTAACGATCACGGCAAACGTTAGCCGCCTTTAGCTTAAAGGGGACCTATCATGCAAAATGCACTTTGTGATGTCTTTTATACATATGTGTCCCCGGTGCGTCGGGGAACTCACGCAGCGTCAGAAAATAAAACCCTCTCTCTTTTCCTCCGTACCCAAATCTTTTAAAAACGGGTGTACAACGAGCGGATACAGATTCCATCCGCTGTGACGTAATAGCGGCGGCGGACCCACAGAGAGTTGCTATCAGACACAATGCCTGACGTGTTTTGGACGTAATCTCGTCTTTGTTTACGTTAGCAAGCCTCGCTAACACTCAGAGCTAACCTGTACTGGAGAGCACATGTGTTTAAAAAGCAGGAAATAAAAAAAGGAACTCACCTTGTGATAAACGCGCAAGAGAAAAAGCATTTGAGCTCCATACTGTTTCAGAAGTAATCTTTGACGTGGTTTAGAACAGGATGGCGTTTTATCATAGCAGAATTTCATTTTATCTCCGGTAGAATTCTGATCAGGCATTAGCTCCGCCTCCTCTTCTTTATTTTTTTTCAAGCTAAGGACCCAAGATCCGCGTTTCTCTAACAGGGCTTCAAAAGAGGGGTTTGAGCAGTATGAGGCACAATGGGTGATCTGTTTGGTATTTTGAAAAAAAAACTTCACAGACATGTTTTGTATACAATATCTGTTTCAAATATAGCATGATAGGTCCACTTTAAGGAATTGTAACGTGAAGTAATTTGACCGTGATGTAATTCCTTTACAGCCTATGTTAGCTTTTTACTTCTGGCTAATGCAATTACACATCAACCAGCTCCTCTAAAAACACACTCAATAATATATTTAGTTTTTAATTGAGACAGCTTCATCTAAACATGGGTGTTACAAGTGGGACTATTTGAGTAGAGTGAGAGGTCCAAAGCTGGTTTATGCTGCTAGACTTTGAGCTCAGTGATGATGGGAGGACATGATCTCTGTCTCTCTCTCTCTGCCGTCATTACTCTGTCTTTGATTGTCCCGTCGCAGCGTTCATAAAATATAAATATGGAGGATCAGAGTACCAGGCGGTTTTTGGCAGAAAGTAGATCACGGCCTCTTTAGATATGACGGAGAAGTGAAGACATGACAAGGACAGAAGTGTAGGTTTGATATGTGTGCGGCACAGCATGACAGCCGTTTCATATGAGAAGATTTGAAAGAGACACATCCGTGGCACTTTTGTCAAAGTTACCGCTTCATTCAGTCCCTGAGACAAACATCTCTTCCCTTTGAGAAGTCTGAGACGAGGAATGAAGAGGAAGGAAATCAAAGAGTTCAGTCTCGCTGAGTCAAAAGGGAAATCCCATAGTTTGGAGCTTCCAAGACGAGATACAGGGAGAGTAGTCACTTCTCATCATAGTGGATAAGGTGTGATTATATAATACTGTTTGTTGAACTCCTTGTATTTGCAGGGACGATGTTAAATGTTAAATGTGTTCAATTTGATGAATAATTTAGCATATTTAAGCAAATATAGGTTGACATTTTGGGAAATATATACGCATTTGTTTTGCATGTCTCCAGGAGGGTAGTTCAAACGGGCAAACAACATACTTAATTATTCACAACCTCACTTTTATTCACGAAAAGTTTCTATAAAATCGAATTTAAAACAAGGTATAAAAAAAAGAAAATGGGTCGGGTAGCTTTTTCATTTTAATGTGTTAATTTGTTGTGTTTTAATTGTGTTTTAGTGTCAACATAAAGCCGTACAATGTTGCAATGCTTTTTTCCAGGACTTTTTTTAGGTGAACAAACCTGCAGTCAGCCAACAGTTGTCTCTGCATCTGTATTCCCCGGACAGATGTTACATCATTACTCTTTTATGTGTATCATAAGACAGCCGTATGTGTATTTGCAAGGTCTACAGTAATTCCTCCAACACAGTGGAGTTCAAGAGAAAGCATTGGATTAGCTTGTTTGCAGCAGTGGCGAACCGTGGCTTTCACAACTGGACCTTCTGTAGATACACCCACCCCCACGCCCCCCCCCGGCGTTATAATGTCCGTCTTTTCACTGAATTGTCGTCTTGAAAAGGGTACTCACAACAATTCTGCAACAACTTAATCTTCACCTGTTGCACTTGTCATTTCAACGTTAAAAACAATAAAACGGCATGAATTGCTTCGTGGCATTCATCTAGATCAGGGGTGTCAAACTGCTGATCTAGATCCTCTGTCTCGAGCCAGTGAACTAGCGGGCCTTCTAGAGCACCCTGGAACCGAGGGAAACTCTGAAAGAACACGCCCATTGGCTACAAATCAATATCTGATTGGTTGATCAAACTGTCAGTCCAAACGCTCTCATTCAGTCCAACGGCCAGGGCCTTCGATCAAGGATGTAGAATACCTTGGTGAAGGATATTCTACCCAGAGACCCAGAACAAGTTCTGATTGGTTGCTTTCTTTTCTAACACAAAACCACTGAAATGCGTAGTGCATGGTCCGAGAAGGACAAACAAATCAACGTAACACTGTAATATTACAGATCAACAACAGATACGATTCTCATTTATTCATTTTATATACATTTTATTTATATAATTAAATCGATTTTTTGTTTTATCTGAGTGTTCCAGGGTATTCTCTGATTACCTTGAAGGCCGTGACGGCTCGCCACTGGTTTGCAGCAATGTCAAATGAACATAAAAAGTATTATTTGCATCAATATGTGCAACACCTATACACATCTGAACCCTGTGTGTTTTTTTAAACACAAACACAGTCTGTTTTTGTCTGCAGTGTTTTCTCCCTGTTAGTCACGTCAAGTCAAAAGTGGGTCAAATGTGAGTGACCGTGCAGCCTCTGTGTGTACAAACCAGGTGACCTTAATCTGATGGTCAAAATGAATTCTCCGTGTGTTGCATCACAGATTACATGTTGTGTTATTTTCTGTTTGCCCTGTGACAAACAGAAGATTGCTGTCTAACTAATGCTGCTTTCTTGCCTTTTCTCCCCCCTCCTTTTTTCCTTTTGTCCGTCTTATCTTCAACAATGTAATCTCTTCTCTTAAATATGTCCCCTATCTCCTTTCCTTTGTTCCATTTTGTTTCACCGCCTTTCCATTTACCTTTGTCCGTCTCTTCCTATGACTTCTTTTGGCTTCAAATGTCTCTTCTTCTTCTTCTCACCTCGTGGATGACCTCCTGTAAATGTCACTTCACCTCTATCTGTCAAACTGTCTCTTATTATCGTTCCAATTTCCCTCTTTTACTCCCATTGTTGTCTCTTACATGTCCTGTATTCTTCTCTTACCTTGCTTTTTAATTCCTGAAAATCTTCTCTCTCCTATTTCCCCACCTCTTCTCCTTCTTTCCTTCAATATCTTTCAAATCCTTTCATCCTTTTCTTAACCTTTCGTCAATCTCTTTATTTCTTTCCTCTACATCACATCCCCAACTCTTCCTGCCTTTCCTTCAAACTGTCTCCCTCTACCTTCTCCACACACCTTCCTCCATCTTTCCCCCATCTTCCCCTCCTTCTCTTCCCCTCCAATCCTCCGTCACCCAGCAGTAAGTACCGGCCGTCATCGGAGCAGCACAATGATAATTTCTCGCTGTCCACCATCGCTGAGGGCTCCCACCCAAATGTAAGGAAACTGTGCGACACCCCTCCTAACGTCCCTCATGCCCGTGCATTGGCTTACTATGATAACATTATCTGTCAGGTAACGTGGTTCTCGCCTCTCTCTCTCACCCCTTTTTCTGCATCTCCCCCCCCCCTGCAAACCCTGCCCGGGCCCCTGACTCCTAATGCATGGGCATGAGTATTCTCAGATACTCCGAGGTGTGCAACGCTATGAAGACGAGGGATGGGCGGGGTCGAAGGGCGAAGGAGGGATGGTGGGGAGTTTTCTCTCGGGGAAAATACAAATACATAGGGGAGGATATATAAAACTAGAAAGTAAACACGTTTAAACATGACCATCATGCATTTAGATTGTGGTTATTTTACAATTTCTTAATCCATTTGAGAACTCCTGGATCTCTATTTACATTGATAATATTGCAATTATTTCAGGTTTAGCCAATTTGTCTTGACGAATCACTTATACTAGCACCACTTTATTAGCTACACATGCAGAAGAAATGCAACAGTGGAGTTCATTTGTTCGTTGTTACATTGTCGGAAACGTGATATTTAATATTGAAGTCATACTTAAAACGTATACTTGACCATATTACATTTAGACATGTTTCTAGTTCGTTGTCCTCCCTATTAGAATACATGAGGGGGAAACATATTAGAAATACTTATATACTTAATATACCATAAACCGCAAACTGAGCTATAACACCTTCATGACTGAGTCAAAATAATCTGAACAATAAAAGTATGAATTTACGGCAGGACGGATGTATTGCATTGCATTTTATTGTACAGGTGTACCTCATAAATTGGCCACTGCTATAAATAAGAAATGGCACAGCTGCATAGATTGATCCCATTTTACCACGGCAACACGATGGCTGTTGGGTCTCATAGTTTCATGCTGTTTTATTGATTCGGCTCCACTGGCTTATTGCTTATTGATCCTATTGTGAAGGTGACAACAACAAACACACAAATAGAAGATGACAAAACTAAAAAACCTTCAGTCATAGATTATGAAAACGCTGGTATTTCAAGGTGAAATGTCTTGAAGAAATCTGGTCTTGAGCTTTAGCTGGTCATTTTAGGACCATTACAGACACCCAACTAATTTATTTTTGACTGAACGGTGTCCAGGATATGCTTAATTGCCTGCTGACAAAGAGAGGATGTACCATAAATCAGCTCAGTGGAGGACAAAAGGTTAGAGGTCAAACTCCCCCTGAAACCACTCTGAACATTTACCGACGGTTCTCAGTGCAGCTAACAAACCGCGTTGGCTCTAACTTGACCCTTAAAGAGAAAACCCCCAGAATCCTTCGCTGCAACCCCTTGCTCACCCCGTCTCTTTCTCAGCTGCTCTCTCTCTCTCTGATCACTTCTTGCATCGGTGTGCCATGGCTTTCCTGCTCTGTCGCTAACATGTGCAATGCCATGTGAGCCACCGCAGCTCTGCTTCGCTAACTGTTTACTGATTTGTGCTTATAACTAATTGTCTGCTTTACTTGTTTATCCTGAAAATGGGAGGGGGCGGGACTTGCTTACTCTGGTTTTCTGGGGGGGAGGAAGTGGGAGGATTGATGTCACAAACAGGTAAGCTTAAGGTGTGGGACTATTGTGTGAAATGGTCGGGGTTATCAGGATAAACATCTGAGATGCAACGCCCCGCGGCGGCCTGCAGGTGGCAGCAGAGAGCCGACAGGCGCCTCACTAACTGATGCATGGTTAGCTTTAGCGGCTAACGTTGTAGCAGCATGGGTAGTTCTCGTGCTACATCTGAGGTAGAGCTTGTTTGATTTGTTTTTAAGATGTGGTACCACCCTCTAACAACTCCGTCAGTAGTTTTGTTAACTTGTAAAAGGTACAGCAACTAGTCGTTTCTCTGTAACTCATTCATGCTAGCTCAACCGTTTTAGGAAAGAGTGTCACCCTCTCATTTTAACCACCACTAAATATCATGTTCATACCCTAACAGACAAGAAAAGAGTAACAAAAACCATCCATCCTCACCTCCTAACAATATCCCTAAGATATCTACTTCCTAACTCAAAACCACCAAAAAACATCATCCACTGGACTGAATAGTATTTGCAAATGTGTTAAAGAGTTTGTTTCAGCATACTTTTGGTACACATACATACTTCCACTGCCAGTTTCAGGGTTATCCACTGACAGTTGGTGGCAGTAATGTGCAAGGAAGTAGCCATGCTAAAAGACAAGCTAGCTAGCTCCGCAAAATCAAAGATATTGGTACAAATCAGCTTAATAAATGTTTTATGTGGAACGTAGTGCACTCAGCAGTGTCAGGCATCAACAAGTGAACTCTGTGAATGTGAACTTTGTTTCCACGAAAACTGCATAGTGCACTTTAAAGTAGTGTTGGGTTCTGAAACAAGGCTCTTTTTGGACCTAGTTTCAGGTTGGCAAAATTGCCCAATTCCCCAAGGCTCAAATATATCATTCAAAAGCAATTTACAAAACATTCACTTGACTGTTTTCTCATTTCTTATTGACACTGCTTTTACTGGTTATAGGATTTTTAGCAAAGAAGTGTGACTGTCAAATACCACAGATTTCCAACTACTATTCAGCCCAGCTTTATTCTCTAATACATGTTCCAACCACGTACACAACTAACTTAGAAAATATAGGGTTCCCCAAACCAAAAACCATACCAACTCACCAATTTCTCCCAAAATAAACCCACTAATAATAATTAAAAAACCTCAATCCCCTTCCATACCAACAGCCAAGTGCCACGATGGCGGAGAACTTCACCAGAAATATCCCAACCTGTATTTACTTTGCTAATAATTACTAACAGCCGGCAGCACCAGAGAGTCTGTGTTTGAGCAGAGATACTGTAGCCAGCTGGGAATATCAGCTGACGTCTGAAAGGAAGTTTCTCCTGCTGTTGGTCTCTGTCTCCAACACTCGATCTCTCTCTGTCTTTTTTATCTGTCTGCTTCTATCTCTTCCTGTCCGCCTCCTCTTTCTCGCTACTTTTATCTCTCTGTTTCCCCTCCCACTCAACTTTCTCTCTGTCCACCTCCAACTTTTTCTGTCCGTCTCTCTATCTGTCTTTCTCTCTGTCTTTCTCTCTGAGGATGCCTTTGTATGGTTTTGAGGAGTTATAACCCTTTGCCCCATCCCCCTCCCCTCAGAAAACCATGAGCAGATACACCTGGGAGTGTAAGACCAAAGAGGAGTCCGACTGCGAGGTAAGACCAACTCCCAAAATGTCAGAAAGTCCCGCCCTCCCCCCTTCTCTCACCTATCCAAACAGCTCTCTCATTGTTACTGTGGCCCTGTCAATCACCCTCTCAACTCTCAGTGGATCCATCTGAGTCTTACCTCCTCCTACCAACAACACAAAACAAAAACAATTATATATATCGTCAACATGAGAGGTCCAAACACACTCCTTGTCACCTGTAAAACTAAAAAGGCTTATAAGGTAACGCATTAATTGAACATAATTCATCTTCAATCAGATTTGCCAACACTTTCTGACAGACATTTAGTATATGTACAAAAAGCCATGCATAAAATACAATAATCTAAATGTTCCTTTGCTAATATCTCATTTCCATCTGCAGTCCTTGGCGAGGTTCACACATAAGCAAACAAAGAATTATATGGACTTTATTTTCAGCAAAACATCAATTCAGGCTTATAAAACATTGTAAAATGAAATTGGACTTGAACCAATTTCTGTTCGCAATGCAATCCGTCACCCAAAAAGACACAGAGCTATCGGCCAAGAAATAAAAAAACGTGAAAATGGTGTGAAATTGCCCTTTAACACACAGTAAAGACACAGTCCTCCAAACCCAATCGCAAACAGACTTTGAATTGGCAGCAAAACTGTTGACCTTGTGAGAACCCTGTTACACATCACTCACACACATACACCTGCAAAAGTGCATTTACAGAAGAATACAACCATAAACAAACACAGAAAGATGGGCACGAAAAAACATTTGCACAAAGCCAACACAAATACACGCTAAACAATAACCCAAAAATCACTTTCCCTGCAGTAATGGAACGCTTTGTGTTTCCTGCCCTGTGATAGATTGAACCCTCTTGTCCTCAATCTTTTTCCTCCACAGTCATTTCAGCAGAGTTCAGACACACAGTCTCCTCCGCAGCAAACGCTGAAATGACAATGTTGTATTGTCAATACTAACTAAATTCACCACAGAAAATGAATTGACCTGGCGGAGCTGGCCGTAATTGTAAAGATCATTTCATTTCCATCGACTGAATCCACTCTCAGACTGACTTAACCTTTAACTTCAAATTCTGCAAGCAGGCAGTTCAGTTTTATGATTAAATGTAATTGTCCCTTTGATTTTGACAACATTCATAATTCTTTATGCGGTGAGAACAAAAATACTGGGACCATTAAGACCAACCAAATTCTTGTATATCTTGTTAAAATCTGTATATTTTTGTTACTATATGTGTCTTTTCTTACTGGGTTTTACACTGCTGTTACGTCCCCAGCTCGCTTAGGGTAAGAGGGAAGCAACACGAAACCAGGTGTTCTTGGTAAGAGGTTGATTTGAATAATAAACTCAAAATAAAGATGATATAACCAAAAATACAGGCTCTTAAAACCAGCTGTTCACAAATAACGCTACACAAAACAAAGGCCACAGATTATCACAGTCATAGCACACTATGGGCACTTAAGGCTAAAATAGTGAGGCGTCTCGCACAAATTCGACGCCGTCACAAATCACAGAATACACACAAAACACTTAAGCACACACCCTAACTAACCACTGTAGCAGAACTAGCACAGAGCTACACAGAACTCCAATCCAGATCTTCGGTCACGCCTACCGGAGAAGGGACAGGAAACTGGCATCCAATGGCGTCCGGGCAACAGCACATCTCATATACATATAACATACACAGCTGAAAACAATCCCAGACAGGTTAACGAGCAGACAGCAGCAGCAGCCGTGACACCCCCCCCCCCCTTAAGACACAAACTCACAGTTTTGTTAACCATGCCTACTACTAAACCTACCTAATCATTCTGAAGGACTCTAAAAGACTCGAAGGAAATCTCTACAAACAATCCACATAACGACCAGGGTCGTAACACTGCATAGCACTTACCAGAGACCACAGTGTGGGCAGAAATATGACTTGTTTCCAAGCAAACAAACAAATACTGTTACTGCAGTATACTTTTAAATAAATACTCTCTATTTAAACCAGAAGACATCCCAGACATACAACCCCCAAGTATTCAAAGGACAGATTTTAAAGATTGAATTTAGTTCTTTTAATTTGGCATCAGTGCACTTTTCTAGAGATGGTCCTTATAATATTTGCAGTCAGTTCTTATCTGCAGGCAAATATCATGGCCAGCTGTTTTTGTTTGGGTGGTTCCTATTATTGTGAACATGAACTGCATGTCCCAGTTTGAGTCAAGGGAAACCATGCTGATCCACTTTCTGCCAGTCACACAGACTTAAGCCATTTAAAGACGTTCAAGTTATGACCAGTGCTTCTCGTCTCCTTATACCGCGTCACTGCACACAAACACATACATGCAAATCAATCTGACGCTCTTAAATACAAACACAAATGTAGACAGATGCTCTATATACTCAGAGAGAAAAGCCAGTCAGTAAACACAGACAAAGCCAAAACAAATGTGTAAACAAACACATGGAGGGGAATGAACAGGCAGGGTAATATTAACTCAGTCACGCACAAGACAAATATTTTAATTTCAAGTTTATGCGCCCAAGCTAAAGAAAAAGTAATAAAGCTAACAGACTCTCATACACTGTAAATTATATTTAATCAGCTTCATGGAGAGAGCTGAGGAGAATGAGTGATTCAGGCACAAACTCTACGACACCTGCCTGCACTTTAAATCCACCCAGAAACAAACACCTCTAGTGTGCCAAAACTAAAATATGTATTAAGTGTTTCACCTTATGGCTTCATAAACATTTATATTTCATTCAGATGACGATTCAGGCTTTTGGGTCCTTCCAATAAACCCTTAGTGTGCATTACTTTTCTACTAGCACAGTTCTTTAAACACTTACAAATGCACTCTCAATTACTAGACAGATGCTTAAGTTATGAAACAAACATACGTGGGTGAACTGGTTATAAAGGTGTTCTTCCTTCGTAACTCCGCTAACGATCGGACCGGCTAGAAATGATGATGTTAACTAGTCATGCTAATTTCACCATGCCTTTATGCTACACTGGAAAATATCAGAACATCAGGTGATATTTGCAATGTGCTTTCCTACAGTGTGTGGCATTTACTCTCGCTCTGCTTCGTAACATAACAACTCCACAGCTTGTTAATTGATGCTTAAAAAAAAGCAATTTATGCTTATTGTGCAAATTGCCCAACATATGAAAGTTGGCATCCAGCTGTTTCTGATTGCTGAGGACCCCTACTATACATTTCTAACATAAAACGTTGTGTTAGTCAACATTTCCGGGTTCACAATAGGACTCTATGTGCTGGCAAATAGACCTTGTTGTAGTAGTTTCTGCAAAACCTCACATAAGTGCGTCCGCGACTTGCCGGAAGTCGATTGCAATAAAAGTTGTTAAAAAGGTACCCAAGTGCAATCGTTCCAAAATCAACTGTACACATAGAATCCCCCTTAAACGCCCACTAAAAGACAAACAACTGTCCGTGTGCCTCCATCGTCATCATCATCAGAACCCTGTTTATATCTGTTCCTACTTCCCCCAAAATGACACCCGCTCTAAAGTCCTTGTGGCCTCCCACCTGCTGCCCGCCCCCTCTCCTCCCATGCACAACAATGAAATCCAACAAACAAAAAACATTTTCCAGTTTCACGCTGACGGGAGGAAAGAGGGCCCCTATCCCGTAACCATGGAAGTGACGTATCCGCACGTCCTGCCCGAAGTTACTATCTAGGCCAGCAGCCAGCGGGTAAATGCTCTCACTGCTCTTCCTTTCTAAAAGTGCCTTTGAATTCAAACGCAAACATTCAATTAGGGGGTGTTTGTAAGTGGCACAAGCCTCGGGGTCTGAATTTTGGTTTTGTGTGAATCTGCCAACCTGTGTGTTTGACTGAAAGTGTATATCTGATAATACTCAGCGAGTGTGTGAGTGTGTGACAAAGAGGCGCAGACGGGCGCCCCGGGATGTGAGGCTGGGTCGATGATGCCATGCAATATTAATGGGGATAAGAGGCTGGAAAAACAGAGTTAAAATGGACTCTGCAATCAATCTGTTCCCTCTGACCTTAATTAAATTCAGATGAATTGGATTTAAACTCTTTTTCCCTCCCCAGCGACTGCTTGGGTATGTATGACGGTGGTACCCACGGACAATCAGCCAGAGTTTTATTATTTGCCTTTTTTTTGGACAATAATTGCAGGTGAAGCAGGAGGAGTTCTGCATGAGCGATCATTACCGTACACAGGGGGGGTGTATTGTAAAGGTCTTGCATGTGGATGTGCATGTGCTTCCTGGGATGCCTGGAAAGGGGGGGGTGGGGGGGGGTGGTGTCGCTCATGCAGCTCACCTCACTGTCGCTTTAACCAAACATGACATGCCAGTCGAGCATGATGAAGCCTCAACCCACTGACATGGCTGCTACTTTCACCTGGTTTTGTTTGGAGTAACAATACAGAAGCAGCAAGTTGATTTTGTTGAATATTTGTTGGTAATTCGCCGCATTCAAGAAGTCTCTAAAGGATCATACCAGGTTTGTAACCCTGGTGTGGTTCTTTAAAGCATGAAAGTGGAACATGCATTGTTCTGCATGCAACAAACGATAACTGCAGAACTCTGGAACTCTTCTTTGTTTTCTTCAACGAAA